AATGAGTGCTTTAGAAGAACATAACAACAGTTTGCTTCATAAAGAGGCTCTTCGTCTCCAAATGGCTTCTAAAGATAAGATCATTGCTGATAAGCCCATATATGTAAAAGGTTGGTGTCTCTTAAATGAAAAAAAATAGCAACATTCTACTTTGAAAAGTCTACCAATTATATCAATTTCATCAAAATACAATTCAATTCTCATTGTTGTAATTGGATATACATTATTTATCAAAGTATATGTTGTAATAAGGACAAATTTGAAAGTATAATGCTACAATTGTTTAAAATTTCATAGTAATAAGAGAGAAATCGAAAGTAGATTGCTATTTCTTGATGGTTTAACTTTTATGACAGCTCTCATGTCAAAATCAGCTGGATCGATTGTTGAAGCTGCACTAAAAAGAGATCCAAATGAGCTTGAGTTCATACAGTCTGTGCAAGAAGTTATTCATGCTCTTGAAAGAGTTATTTCAAAAAACTCCGGGTGAGTTTGAGTTTTCTCATTTGATATTTAGAGAATTAAAGCTACCAATTTTGACCCATGTAACTAAAACGGGTCGATTTGGGTTTAAAATCCAATCCCTAAGAGGCCACATGCATGCAATTCCAAAAAGAAAATCTTTAAAAGGGAAACAAACAAAATGCCCATAGTGTATTCAAATGCTTACAAGCTCGTAAATTGTGTACAAAATTGAAAATGGTGAATTACCCATTTTGACCTTGACCGATTACAACAGTTATGTGAACACAATGGAGCGATTGTTAGAGCCTGAACGCACGATTATCTTCCGAGTTCCATGGGTTGATGATAGAGGTGAAATGCATGTTAATCGAGGTTTTAGGGTTCAATTTAATCAGACATTGGGTCCATGTAGGGGAGGCCTTCGTTTCCACCCTTCTATGAACTTAAGTATTGCCAAGTTTCTCGGTTTTCAACAGGTACTAAACCCTAAACCCTAAACCCTAAACCCTAAACCCTAAAACAGGCATCCGATGATTTGACATTTTCTTTCTTTTATGTTTCATTGGAAAGACATTAAGAACTGCATTATCTCCTTATCGACTTGGAGGAGCATCAGGGGGAAGTGATTTTGATCCAAAAGGGAAAAGTGACAATGAGGTAGGTTATAGGTATTAGGTAGAGTCTTTTTTTAATCTTTATACAAAACTATAATTGTTATTTAATAATTTTATTAACTTTTTTTTTTTTTTTTTGTAATTTATGTATGTAAGATTATGCATTTCTGCCAGAGCTATATGGATGAGCTCTATCGTTACATGGGTCCCGATAAGGTTCTTTTTTTCTTTTTTAATTAATAAATCAACTATGTTTTCTAAAAAAATGTAATCTTTTTTTTTTTTGTTAAAAATATCAGGATCTTCCTTCAGAGGAGATGGGTGTTGGTACCCGTGAAATGGGGTTTCTTTATGGTCAGTATAGACGCCTAGCTGGACATTCTCAGGTGATGATTTGTTATTTTTATTTTATTGTTTTGTTTATTATATCTATTATTGGTTAAACTTATGTCTTAATAAAAAAATGTATTCTTTTTTTTATATGATTACACAGGGAAGTTTCACGGGCCCACGTCTTAATTGGTCTGGTTCTAGCTTGCGTACTGAAGCTATGGGTTATGGACTCGTAATCTCTCTCTCTCTCTCTCTCTCTCTCTATATATATATATATATATATATATATATATATATATATAATGAGATTATGCAATTTGTTGCATTTATGAAGAAAAAGGTTTGAGTTTGACTAGTCAACATATGTTTTTTTTTTTTTTTTTTTTACAGGTTTTTTTTGCACAACTTATACTAGCAGACATGAATAAAGAACTCAAAGGACTAAGGTTTGACACCTAACTATACTAGGATGCTATAAATTATAATATTATATTATAATAAATAAATACATGAAAGTAGGTTGCTATTTGTTGCATTTAAAATCTTTTTAATAATTTTGTGTTTCCAGATGTGTGGTTAGTGGGTCCGGAAAGATAGCAATGCATGTATTGGAGAAGCTCATTGCATATGGTGCTCTTCCCATCACAGTGTCAGGTAATTAATTAAGCTTCAAGTTCTTGATTTCTAAATATGAAAAAAAAAAAAAAACGGGCAGGTCGGGCAGGTATTAAAATGGAAGTTCGGGCAGTTAGATAACAGTTAACAAGTCAATAATTTTCTACAGATTCCAAAGGTTATTTAGTGGATGAAGATGGATTCGATTTCATGAAACTATCTTTCCTTAGAGACATCAAAGCACAACATAGAACTTTAAGGTTCGTATGATTTATGATTTATGATTTATTCATGTTTCTTTGTTGAATTAAAAAGTTTTTATTTGTTATATTCAGAGATTATTCAAAAACTTATGCACGTGCTAAGTACTATGATGAAGCAAAACCTTGGAATGAAAGATGTGATGTTGCTTTTCCATGTGCTTCACAAAATGAGATTGACCATAATGATGCCATTACTTTGGTCAACTCTGGTTGTCGTATACTTATTGAAGGTAATCATTTTCATTATTATTTTTTTTTTTTTCTAATTCCTTTGGGCCCCACATCTGTTACACATGACATGACATGACATGACATGTCATCATGATTGATATGTGTTGTTTAGGTTCCAACATGCCATGTACACCTGAAGCCATGGATGTGTTGAAAGGGGCCAATGTTTTGATTGCTCCTTCCATAGCTGCTGGAACAGGAGGGGTATGCCTGTAATTTTACATGTTATGATCTTATCTAAATTCTAAAATGGTATTTTACTTTCCTTGAATCGAATTTATAATTTTTATTTTTTGTATAAAAATTGTTCAGGTTGTTGCTGGTGAGCTTGAGCTAAAAGAATATAATTTGAACTGGGCACCCGAGGACTTTGAGTCTAAACTACAGGCAAGAAACAGTTTCTCACTCTATTTTTTTTTTCTTTACAAGGGCAATTTCGTCCAACTTATGCAAAACCTTTTAATATGCAACAAGAAACAATTTGTTAGATTTATTTTGAGATGTATGAAGTTTAAGTTATTATTATTATTTTTTTTGTTAAAATATTGTTGAAAACAAAAATGGCAGGAAGCAATTAAACAAACGTACCAACGAGCTCTAAAAACAGCAGCTGAATTTGGTTATCAAAAAGAAAGTCCCGAGTAAGATATTTTTATCTGGCAGTTCTGACTCAGTCAGCAACTATCAGACAACTTTTTAATTTTGTTCGGTTGATATCAGTGTTGGTGTGAGTGATGGTTGTTTAATTTGTGTGTGTTAGGGCATTGATACATGGTGCGGTGATATCTGCATTTTTGACCATTGCGAATGGGATGTCAGAGCAAGGATGTGTGTAGGTGGGGGAGGAGTGATCCAACACAACACAACACAAGAGATATTGAATTATTGATGTGTACATAAAGAAAGTTGTAGGTGAAGATGAAGGTGAGGTTTGTTGTTTGTAGATGACATATTGTGTGTTTAAATTAAATTTAGTATTGGGTGAAAATGGTGGGCGTAGTGACAACTGATAAGATAACTAATAAATTATCATGTGTTTTATAAGCTCCCGTTTAGGGTACATTTAAGTTAAGCATTCATTTAGACATTAAGCCTATTCCTATTCCTATTTCTATTCCTATTCCTATTCATGTTCTTATTCCTATCATTTTGATTTGTCACGTCTCTTATTAGCCTTCTAGGACTAATGATGATGTGGAAACAATATTATTGCTTAATAGTCTCGAAACTTATTGCAAAGACAAAGAGGATAATTTTGTTTTTGAGAAAATGACAAAAATAGTCGTAATTTAATTATTAATCAAATAATAGCAAAAAAGTAAACATAATCTTAAATATAACCACATATTTCGCAGGGAATCCATTGCTAAATGTATCGGGTATCTTTATATCTTACAAAATTAATATGGTCTCAAATGAACATTTACTTATATATGGAGAACCAATGATAATGCATTATTAAGAGGTTACGCTTAGGGGTAACAAATCGGATAGTTGTTTTGTATTTTTAGCTGAGATGACACGATATAAAAACTTTTATATAACGCAAACATAACATAACACTGTGTTGTGTTTTGCTTTACTAATACGGAAACAACCCAATTAAAAACCCATAAAAACAACAAACACGAAAAAAGACAAAATAAACTTTTATTTTATTTAATTCAAAATTAATCTTACAAAACACGACAAGCATATGTTAATATCGTATCGAATCTTGAACACGAACACAACACAATATGACATCGTGTTTGTACACTTGACACGAACATGGACACGAACACAAATTTGAATTTCAGTTTTGTCCCATTTTTTGTTTTATGTCATGTATTTTTGTTATGTCATGTCATGAATTGAACCTTTGGTTATGAATTTTATAGACTAATTACAAGTGTCAGGATAAGAGTCTAGTGGTTGAGGAGTGAAATTATACACAGAAGATCCATGATTCAAACTATGACACTCAAAATATTGCTAATATTCCGCCATACTCAGATATTATATGATTTTACCGTTTTTATAGACTAAATTACAAATCGAGTTGAAAGAGGCTACATTTTTTATAATTTAGTCATCTTTATGTAAACGGTTTGAACCTTGAACATCGAATGCCAAAAATTCAAAAAGAAGTATTTTATCACTCATATAACAAGAATTTGGGCCTCATTCTTAAGTCCAAAAGTTAGCCCAGTCCAAAATTGGTCGTCTTAAAAATGCAGAGGGGTTTAAGTGAAAATAATCAAAGTATGAGGATCAAAATTAAAACCAAGCTAGGGTTTTGATGGATGCATATATAGAAGAATTACGTCTCTATGATCCGTCTTCAAGAACTCTCACAAGGGAAATCGCCGCCTTAGCAAAACCCTAACGGTATGTAATCTCAGCTTTAGCTACGGCGAATTATGTTCGTACGTTTTTGTTTGTTAGGTCGTTTGTATGTTGAATGTTATCGACTCTGATTTTCAGTGAAGTAGGAGCAATGACGACAGTACCAGGGCAGCTGATATGGGAGATCGTAAAGAAGAACAACTCTTTTCTCGTTAAGGAGTTCGGCAATGGAAATCAAAGCGTTCAGTTTAGCAAAGAGCCTAATAACCTCTACAATCTCAACTCATACAAACACTCTGGTAATCATTTCATCAATCAATACTTTATTTTTCGTTTGCGATTTCCGCGCCAGGGTTTGCTCTCCATGATTTTTGTACACAGCTTCCTTCTAGAAATTGATATTTTCTACCACTCACAATCAATCAAAATCGAGTTGCTTTTTGTCGCAACAATTTGGGGTTATTGATTTGAATGATAGATTTTTACAGGATGTTTGTTTGTAATCTACTTGTAGGACTAGCCAACAAGAAGACAGTCACTATCCAGCCAGCTGGTAAAGATCAATCTGTGTTGCTTGCAACGACTAAAACCAAGAAACAGGGAAAACCTGCAAGTTTGCTTAACAAATCCATAATGAAAAAGGAGTTCTACCGCATGGCAAAGGCAGTTTCAAACCAGGTAAACCCCATTTTGTAAAAAAGCAGTCTGTATGTAGCTCTTAACTGATTCTGCAGTTTATATGATCTGAGAGTTGCATGATGGTGGTTTATTTTGAATAGGTGGGAGATAACTATTACAGGCCAGATTTGAAGAAGGCTGCACTCGCTAGGTTGAGTGCTGTGAGCAGGAGTCTTAAGGTCTCAAAATCTGGTGTGAAGAAGAAGAACAGACAGGCTTACAAGGTTGGTGGTAGGAAATGAAGCTCTGATCTGATATTATTATCATAATTATCTTGTTATTCAATCATATTACTGTTTGGTTTGCATGAGGATAGTTAAATGTGCAACTCGAATTGGTTTACACCAATTTTCAGAATACAATTTTGATGGTTTTTGGCCTGTTTATGAAAGTCTTTTAACTATTGCTTATTATTTGTGAGGCATATGCCAGTCTTTTTTAAGCAGTTTTGTGTGTTTGTGGTGATTAGGGTTGTAAATGAATTGAACAAAACACAAATTAGCTTAATGTTTGTTTGAGTTTTTAACTGAACATGCCAGTGAACATAAACTCAAACGAATGAATGTTTTGTTAATATTTATTAGCTTAACAAATTACCTTGTATATGTTCATTTGTTGTTAGTCTAAGCGGATGAACGCATAGGATCATAAACACATGAAAATGAATATGCAAGTGAACCACATGTTAATTATACATGGCCTACAATAAAAGCATCAGAAATGCCAAAGATAATTCAAAAATTAAGTTTAAAGATCCAATTTGCCAAATATTCGGTTTGTGAATTTGAAAAAGGCGTGGTAATCAGAGAGTACATCTCGCTGCAATTCTTGTTGTGTTGCACTTCTCATTTGAGACTGCATGGTTTGTGACACAAAATTTGAGTTGGACAGTAGACTAAATTATGTCGCCAACCATTGGTTTTATTTATCTTGTTCCAAAAACAGAAGATATTGCCTTCTATATACATTTTTCTGCAGCTAACACCTTCAAATACCCGACTTTTGTTATGAAACTTAAACCTATACCATCACTGTAAAGTTCCGTTTCCTCTTAAACCCTAATTTAGACAGAATTGCAAAATGTTTCTTGTGGGTGGCAAAATTTTTTTGTGTATTTGATCCAAAAAGTTTTAGTGGTGCTTACCAGTGGATTCAAAATTGTTTTTTTTTTTTTATTGTTTTTGGTCCCAAACACTTAATATTAGGGATGTTATTCGGGCTAGAACCGAACTGAACCGATCCGAACCCGAATAACCTGAGAACCGAATAAGGGTATTTGTATGAACCGAAAACCAAACCAAATAAACAATACGGGTTCAGTTTGGTTTGGGTTTTATTTGGTTCGGTTCCGGTCCGAATAACCCAAATAACATGTACAATGACATATTATTATTGTATAATCTGAATAACCAAAATAACCCAAATAATATTTACAATGTGATTATAACTATTGTATTTTGTATGATTTTTGTATTTTATGATTTCATAACAATTTTTTTAAAAAAACAAATTAGTTATTTAAAAAATAATACAAAGTATATATAATTGTTCCAAAGGTGCAAAAAGAGTTAGAATTTGTGAACTAAGAATATAAACACAGATAACATATGGATTAACTATTCTTCATTAAAATGTAAAATACAAATACCAAAATCTTAAGATATAGTTATGAAACAACATATTAAATACTAAACATTAAACACCAAAACATCCAAAAATTTATATATAAGTATATAAGTACAAGACCGAATAAGTTATCGATCAAGGGGAAAAACATGTGAGTTATGTGACTTTTCTAATTCGGTTTGGTCCATGTAACCCGAACCGAATAACCCGAAACCCGAATAAGCCTAATATAGATACCCGAAAACCGAATCGAATTGCTTATTCGGGCCTAATTCGGTTCGGGTTTTCGGGCCAAATTCTCATCCCTACTTAAAATAACCTTATGCCCCATATATTTATTTTTTAATTTTTTTTATATTTATATAAATGTTTTTAATTAATCTAAAATGAGAAAAGGCCCTTTCTCCGTGTGTGTGTGTGTATTTGATGAAAAGTCAAGAACACGAAAACCATCTCCATCGACTGCAGCCACCATCACCAGCGACTGTTGGCACCGTCACCACAAATTGCCGACACCATTCGCCACGATTGTCACCACTATCTCCTTCATCATCTCTTTACAGCTGCTACCCCCTCCTTATGTACCCTTCCCACTACTAGATTCAACCTTTATACTTCTCAATGCCAAAAAAACACCTCTCTCTTCAGCTAAAAGCTTTGACCTACCTACGAGAAGTCCTTCATCGGAACCACCAACCACCACAATCTTCTCCGGCTACTTCCGCCTTGTCAGAACACCACCTACACCTCCTTCCGAAGAAAAGCTCTGAAATCCAATTCGTAACCGAGACTCAAATCTCGTCGGAGGTATCGTTCACCCACACACCCATCCATTACTCGTCACACCATCACTGCTTGCCTCCATCCATTTGCAACCACACCTCTACTTCTTAGATCTGAAACCCAGATCTTGTCGGACCTATCGTTGGATCTAGAGTTTTTAGATCTCGTTGTGGTTGAGATTTTTCTAGTGCAGGTTTGAACCTTTGATGGAATATGGTTGTGCAGGTGCTGGAATGGAGGCGGACACAACTGAAGTTAGGGTTACAGTGGTGGTGCTCCATCAGAAAATGGTACTCCAATGGTGGTGATGGGAGGATGTCATCGCGCGAGAGAGAGAGAGAGAGAGAGAGAGAGAGAGAGAGAGAGAGAGAGAGAGAGAGAGAGAGAGAGAGAGAGAGAGAGAGATGTTTTTGGTTTTTTTTAATTAAAGGAAAAAGAATTTAATTTAAATAAATATAAAAATTATTTTAAGGGTATATTAGTTATTTTAGGTTGCGTGTGGACAAAAAACACACAAAAATGCTAACCATAAGGACCAAAACCACACATGGTATCCGATATTGGACCACCAATGCATCACCAAAACTTTTTTGGACCGAATCACATAATTTTACCAACCACATGGACCATTTTTGCAAATTTGTCCCCAATTTACATGATGATTTCTTGAAAATACCTAAGTTTTACAAGGTTACCTGCTAAGAAAGGTGTTACCTGCTAAATGTTATTTATGGAAAAAAAAAGTCTTGCAAGTTTAAAACATCTACACACATAAATGTTATGTTGGGGTAAAGCCGTTATTTTTTTACAAACTTAAGGGTGATTTTTTTTTTCTTAGCAAGTGTTGTTGAAATAAATATCCCTTTTTATTGTTACCTTAGATTAAGAGTCAGCGCATCAACATCCGTACGGCCATGATATTTTGGAAAAAGCGTTTGGAATAAATTGATAGCCACGGTGGCATCTGCAGGGCCGTGAACAACGTTGCGCGCAGCCACGAAAATGTCATGTGCATCTCCTCACAAAGCAATATGTGATCATCCTCATCTGGAACAATGCTTGCTTTGCTTGGACCAAAATCCGTGGTTCTAGCAAGAAGCTTATTGGGTGTGAAAATTTCCAACGTCTTAAATCACTCAAAATACTTTTCTTTATTATTTTTAAATTAAATGATGATTTATATGTCATTATTATAGCAATTTGGTTAATAGATATCATATCATTATAATAATAAATTAACTTTTATGATAAACCAATTTAAAAAGAGATTTAAATAATCATTCTTGATTAAATTTTATAGTTTTAATCGTTCCCGTTCCCCCAATTAAAAATAGAACATAACTTCTATTAACATATCCCTAAGATTAAGGCTCTAAGCGAACGGATCCTCTATCAGAAATTCGTTTATTTTCATTTATTTAATAAAAAAACGAATATGAACAAGATATTTTGTTCGTTTAGTCAAACGAGTAGACATGAATAATGTTCTCGTTCGTAAATGTTTGTTTATTTATGTTCGTTTTACGTTCATTCATTTATTTTTTTTGTATGTATTTTTTGTTTAATTTCAAATCTATTTGTTTGTTTATGTTTATTTAAGTTCATTTGTATTCATTTGTTTATGTTATTTAATGTTAAGTTATGTTAGTTTAAGTTTGTTTGCGTTTGTGTTCGTTTAACAGTTAAATGAACGAACATAAACGAACACAAACAAACTAAATTTCTTAACAAACGAACACAAACATAAAATTTTGTTCGTTTAATTGTTCGTGTTTATTCGTTTATCCTTTAAATTTATACGAACGAATACAAACAAACCTCCATTCATATTCGTTTGGTTTGTTTCAACCCGACATAGGATGATAAATCGAAATTTGCATCTAGTTGTTCAACCAATTTCCTATATTCTAATTATTGTTAGGTTAACAATATAATGCAATTCATGTTAACCTGTGTCCATAAGGCTAAGGAGAGTGGTGTTCAGCTCACTGAGCTCCACATCAGCTTTAGCAATGAAGGGGAGAGTTTTGCCACGTTGGGAAGAAGTGTTATCTTTCACCATTAAAGAAGCTTTGAAAGAAAGAAGATGAAAGAGAAGATGATATTCAAGTCTGTATCATTTCGTTTTTCTCACTGATCTATTTACATTGATACATAAATAGTCGTTTCTATCAAACAGAACTAACAACTTTTATATGAAATTACAACAATACCCTTCAACTAACTAACTAACTAACTGTCATTTAATAACAGAGTCTAACACCCCCCCGCAAGCTGTAGACTGTAAATGCAGCTTGGAAATAGCTTTTTGATGAAGAACTCCATTTAATGACTTAGTTAAAACATCTGCTAATTGAGCATCAGAGTTAACATGGGACAACGAAATTAACCCATCTTTCAGTTTTTCTCTAACAAAGTGGCAGTCGATCTCTATATGTTTGGTCCTCTCATGAAAAACTGGATTGGTGGCTATGTAAATAGCTGCTTGGTTGTCACATTTTAATGGAATTGGATTAATGTGAGACACATCAAGTTCATGAAATAATCGACTCAACCAAGCTAATTCAGAACAGACTCTTCTCATAGACCTGTATTCTGCTTCAGCAGAAGATAATGAAATAGTGATTTGTTTCTTGGATTTCCAAGAAATTGGTGTATCACCAAACATAATGAAGAAACCACTAACAGATCTCCTGGTTATAGGACAAGCTGCCCAATCTGAATCACAATATGCCTCCAATTTATAATTTTGAGTGTTATTGAAGAATAAACCTTGATCAAGTGTTCCTTTGAGATAACGTAAAGTATGCATAGCAACATCAAAATGATCTTGAGATGGCTGTTGGTTGAATTGACTCCAATATTGAACTGAGTAAGCTAAGTCAGGTCTTGTATGAAGGAGAAAATTCAGTTTTCCAATTAATTGTCTGTACTCAGTAGGATTTTTGAGAGGATTAGACATTTTGGGAAGAAGATTTACTTTATGTGGTAATGGAGAGGAAACAGGAGTGTCTTCTTCAAGTGAATATGAAGCTAACAATTCTCGAATGAACTTGCTTTGATGTACAATCATCCCATTTGTGACTTTGGTGAATTCAAGACCAAGAAAGAAATTTATTTGTCCCAAATCCTTGATTTTGAACTTATCATCAAGAAAAGTTTTTAACTTTGT